AGAGGTGTGAAAGCCACGCCTGAGCCATTCGCAGTTTGAACTTACGTTATTAGACTTCTCTTCACCTCCGCTCTGGTTATTAGACTAAAACCAAATCGATAGAACAAGGTAACAAAAGAATACACTTTCACACATAATTTCCTGATGTCTATGATTTTTGAGATTTCGGTTAACTTTGAACTGTTTTGTTTTGATGGAATGTATTAGAAGTGACAAGTTCAGAGAATATGTCATGACCAGAGGAACAATCATCAAGGTTAATGTTTGAAGCCTTCTCTTATCACATTTGTCGCATCAACATCAAATTCACAATCCATCTACCACTTGATATAATATTCAATACTAAATTGGTAAGTTCAATTTGTGGACAGGTACAACGGAGGTTTGGGGTTGATATAGAGGAACTTCCTGAACAGATTGATACCTCCACTTACAGTAAGTGTTGGATCTTTGTACCAATTGTGTGTACAAGCTTGGTTTTGTCTCGTTTTTGGCACTTACATTGTTCCTTCTACCATTGCAGGCTTCGTCTCGGTGGAGGAAACCTCTTCAGTTTACAACCTTATACGTGTTCTTATTGTTGGAATTTCTGCAGGTTCTTCCACAGATATATTGTCCAGTTTTGTTGTTCACGTATTAAAACTCTGTTCTTAATCGTGGGTTGTGCAAGCCGTAGAGAAAACTCTTCTCAGAAAATTCAAGTCCACACCTAAAAGTCTGGATAACAATGCTTCAACGTGTTTCAAAGAAACAAAACGATCATACAAGTCTTCTTCAAGTGCTTCAAAGTGACTCATCCTCAAGAGAAATGTTGTTATCTTTTTCGATGTTTTAATGATTCAATCATTTCATTTTGAAAGCAATTAGTCTCTTCTTTGTTGAATCTAAACTATTTGATGTAAATACATTTACATGAAGACAAACACAATACATACAGTTTACTTAATTTTGCTTAAGATATTTAACATCTTGTAGTGACTTAAATATTTAACATAGTTTAATATGTTAAAATACAAAGAAAATATTATTAAAAGTAGAAAGTTAAAAAATGAGTTCATGAGTTTTTCGTGTAGGCTTTAGACTTAAATTTTACTAACAAAAAAAAAATCATGATCTTTGATT